GGTTCCCTGCTTGGCCAGAAGCCTGCTTCTCCCTCTTCCACTCCCCCTGCTTGTGTTCCCTCTCTTGCTGTCTCTCTCTGCCAAATAATTTTTTTTAAATCTAAAAAAATTTAAAAAATAAATTAAAAAAGAATATGATAATCTCTGCTCTTCCGCTGCTATAAAAACCAAGTAAGAAAAGGTACCAGAAAAAGCCAACTGCCCTCTGCTGTTGGAATGCCCAGGATTACTATGAGTTTCCACATCAGTAAAATGGAACTGGTAACAGTTCCTACCTCACCAAATTGTTGTGAGAATTAAATCACATAATAGTGATAAAACAGTTCCTGGCATTTTTCAAAAACTGGAAAAGATGAGGCTATTACATAATTGCTACTACTACTATTGCTTCTGTTAATGACCCTATTATCTCCATTAGTATTGTATCTTGCTACCTGGCTAAGAGACTCATGGGAAAGTGGAAAAGTTTTAGAGTATACGTCTTTTTTTTTTAAGATTTTACTTATTGATTTGAGAGACAGAAAAAGCATAAGAGAGAGAGCATGAGCAGGGGGAGGGGCAGAGGAAGAAGACTCCCCGCTGAGCAGGGGTGGGGGATAGGAGAGGGAGAAAGAATCCCAAGCAGACCACACTGAGTGCAGAGCCTGATGTGGGGCTCAGTCTCACGACCCTAAGATCATGACCTGAGCTGAAACCAAGAGTCGGACACTCAACCGAATGCGCCACCCAGGCACCCCATTTTAAGGATATTCTTTTTTTTTTAAGATTTTATTTATTTGATGATGAGAGAGAGAGAGAGGGAGAGGGAGAGAGAGAGGGAGAGAGAGAGAAAGAAAGCACAAGCAGGGGGAGTGGCAGGCAGAGGGAGAAGCAGGCTTCCGGCTGAGCACAGCACTCGACCTGGGGCTCAATCCCAGGACTCTGGGATCATGACCTGAGCCAAAGACAGATGCTTAGCCAATTGTGCCATCCAAGCACCCCTAGAGTACAAGTCTTCTTAAAGAGGATATCAGCATCACCAAGTCTAGAATTAGGGGAACCAGCAGTAGATTCGTTTTATGTTTTTCCCCTAAACACCAAAATTGAACACAAGTGCAAAAATCAAAACCAAAATGCATCAGCATTAGCTCGAGTTTTCCTGCTTTAAGAAATGTACTCCTGGGGGTGCCTAGCTGGCTGGCTCCGTTGGTAAAGCATAAGGCTCTTGATCTCAGGGTCATGAGTTCAAGCCCATGTTGGGTGTAGAGATTACTAAAAAAAAAAAAAAAGAAAAAATCACTCTGGGTTTTCTTATGTACAGCAGGGTTAAAGAACCCTGAAGAAAAGAAAGAAAGAAAGAAAGAGAGGAAAGAAAGAAAGAGAGGAAAGAAAGAAAAGAAAGA